GTGGTGGTGGTAGTAGTGGTAGCAGCAGCAGCAGTGCAGTAGTTGTTGTTGTTGTTGTTGTTGTTGTTGTTGTTGTTGTTGGCTCCGACACAATGTAAGCACGGTGTTTCCTTCCCTGACTTCAGCCGAACATATCGGTGCCGTCGGTGTTCCAGGCGCGTCTAAAACCGCGAAATCTGCACGCGCCGAATCCCTCGGTATTATGGCGGTTCCTTTGCTCGCAGTGCCGAAACCACCAGTATTTGCGTTGTTTCCCAGAGCATCCATGTGGCAATCATGTTAACGTCCACACAGAAACCGTCCGTTCCCACAGAGCATGCATGCGACAACCATGTTAAGGTCCACACAGACTCCGTCTGTTCCCACAAAGCATCCATGCAACAACCCGACTCCGTCCGTTCCCACAGAGCATCCATGTGGCAACCATGTCAACGTCCACAGAGACTCCGTCCGTTGCCACAGAGCATCCATATGCAACCATGTCAACGTCCGCAGGGACTCCGTCCGTTTGCGCAGAGCATCCATGTGGCAGCCATGTTAACGTCCACAGAGACTCCGTCCGTTCCCACAGAGCATCCATATGGAACCATGTCAACGTCCACAGAGACTCCGTCCGTTCCCACAGAGCATCCATGTGGCAGCCATGTTAACGTCCACAGAGACTCCGTCCGTTCCCACAGAGCATCCATGTGGCAACCATGTTAACGTCCACACAGACTCCGTCTGTTGTCACGAAAGCTAGCTCTGTGGAGCTTGCGTCAGTTGTCGTTTACCATTCACTTAGGTAACCTTTAGGTAGTAGAGAACTAGGTCAAAATTCCGTGCAGGACCTTATCTGGTCCTTTCACAATAGGGGAGTGGGGGAGGGGGCCCCCCCGTGCGCTACCACGCAAATGATTGGTTTAGAGCCAATATGAGCCAATAAGGAGCCCCACCAGGTCGCAGCAACATTGTGTAAGATCAGGGGGCCCCCTCAACGTCCATCATGGTCCATCTGTCTAGAAGCAACATGGCAACTTGCGTGTTACGCTTATGTGGCCGAGTGCGTCTACGTAGAAGGTTTCATGTCTAACCCTTCAGTAATTACCAAGCTGCCACCAAGACAGAATCAAGCTGCTCGTAGATGAATAGGTGGCCGAGTCATTGCTTAAACGGGGACATTCCGACGCGCAATGAGGTCGGTCAAGGCACTACGATACGACAGGGTGTATGTTTTTACGTGGGCCAATGTCTAATGTAAAACAGAAAAATGTTAGTGCTATCACCTTGCACACTTAAGCTTCATGGCACTACATACGTGCTTGCATCCATGCTGCCCGTGCTCTATCGACTCTGGTTCCTTGTTTTGCCCGAGGTTTCGTGGCCTCTTCTCAAATTGTAGTTATAGTTGCATTACATCGTCGCCTTCGTTCTTTCCTTTCAAGCGCCGCAAGGCCCATGGGTGACGGGTGACTCTATAGGTTCTAACTAGTCAGCCCCGTGATGTCAATGTAGCTAGTTCAGCCCCGACATGGACCAATGCAGCTTGACATGGGTAGGGTTTTGCATGCTTGGGTCGCATGGCCCCTCCACTGTCAGGAATGTAGTTCGGTTTAAAATTGGCGTATTTGTGGGGCTTTGTGAACAGTAACTTGCTAGCCTGTGACTGTGACCAAGGACATCGACGAGAAGCTTCAGAAGGATCGAGCAAAACACATTCAGGAAGAATTATGGAAGGTACGTGCCAGAACCTACATCCTGATCGTGAGCTTCATGGTTCACGCTGCGCCCGTGATGACCATTGTATTCCTTTACGAATTTGCCATGCTCCTTCGCTCAAAACACAGGTGAGGAATATTGGAGAGGGCGGCTACGTGATAGTTATGCAGGGGCACGTTGTCGGGTGTTGAGTCCTTGGACATCAGGGCCCAGGCATGACTCCTTGCATCTCCAATCATTTCCTGCACAAACAAAAAACTGGGCCAACACACCAGGCTTAAGACGTGTTTCCTTGCAACGAGGGGGGTGTAGACCATGCAGCCTTCGTTCATGTTCATTGCTCTGCTGGCTCCCTGCTTGATAGCTTAACGTCACGCCGGGACAAGTGACGAAGGCGATCTCGGGCATCAGCAGTGATCGTGAGCAAGTTGTTTCCTGTTTGTCTACGCGCAACAACAATGCTAACCACCACCACCGCCAGCACCAGCACTACCTCTGCCGCCGCCGCCGCCAACCCACCCCCCCTCCCGCAACAGCAACAGCAATCGCAGCCACCACCAACAACAACGACAGCAGCAACAACAACAACAACAACAAGAGCAACAACCACAACCACAACCACAACCACAACCACAACCACAACCACAACAACAACAACCCCAACAACCACAACGACGACGACAACAACAACTACTACTACCACTACCACCACCACTACTACCACTACCA